CCAAGTTCAGCCCCCCCCCCCCCTTTTTTCACTTGGATGCTGCCCTGGCAAAGTAATTTGCTGATAATACGGTAATTAGCCTACAGACTTAGAAATGCTCAGATATAGCTTGCCTCACAACACGTGCAAAGGAAGCAAGACACTCCCGACCCAGTGAATTCACTGCTTGTCTAGATCCTGAGAGCTCTAGAGGTGCTGCATGGATCTAATTCTAGAATTAAAACCTCATCCATAGTCCATATGTTTTGAGGAAACCGAGCACTGATTAGAAGACATGTTGACAAAAGACCACCATTTAGTTGTTAGTAAACGAGTGATGGGTTACCATAAGTTTCTTCTAAAAATTTATCTTGGCTAGAGCCCAGTTTTGCAAGGTCACCCAGCTATGACCGACACCATAAACAAGTTACCAAGATGTCTTGTACAGTTTCCTGACTCTTGCAAACAAATGCCCATTTGAAAAGTATGGGTGGATGAGTAATAATAATGTGTTTTTTATTTTTTATTTATTTTTTTTCCTTCTCTTGTTTCCTCCCCCCGCCTTTCTGTAGGTAATAGACTACAATGGTGAGAGAACGCTAGATGGATTCACAAAGTTTTTAGAGAGTGGAGGAAAAGAAGGTGGTGCTCCAGCACGAGATGATGAGGACGAGGAATCTGATGTATGTATAATTTGGTTGCTATTTAACTTTTTTCCAATCGTTTGGTTTAACTAATTGAATTGTTAGTTTTCATACCATAAATATACCATACCATAATTTCAATTGGAAATCTGCCAGCTTTGGCCACAGACAAATCTCTTTCTGCTTAGTTGATGTGTTACTTCAGTAATTAAACTTTTCGAAGTGTTATGCATGTGCACATAAATTAATTTTTTTTTTAAATGCAATGACCTAAAGCTGATACTTCACCAATAGTTGACATAATTAGTTGTAAGCTTGAAGAGTTTGCTTATGGAGCTGCAGTTGTTTGCTGTCAGTCTCATGTGCATTCCTGGCTCTGGTCCTCCTCTGCAGGGGGTAAAAGACCCTGCTTGCAAATCTGTCAGTCAGGCACTTGCCAAGAACCTGAGTGATGCAGAGTCCATTAAAGTGGCCCAGTTTCTCCATCAACCTTGAAGTTTTAGCTTGATTCAGGGAGATGTGTGTGCACATAAGATGCAAGCATTTACATTAATGTTTTCAGTGTATTTTTCAGATTCTTGATGCTGATTTCCTTTAATTTCTGACACCCAAATGAAATGTCTGAAAATATAACTGCCTACTGCATGACACTTTGCTTCTTAAGATTCAGAAGTTACTAAGGATAAACCTTTTCACAGTTTTATCATTAGGACATAATCAGTATTTCTTTTTGTAAGTACAATGATTGTATTTGCCAACAGTTTGCTCTGCACCAATTAATATTAATCCATAAAGAATGCAGGAGTATAATACTGGTCCTGGAGTAATTGTTCTCTAGAAATGTTTCCTTGCTCGCATTATAGTCTGGGGTAGTCTCTCCTTAAAAGCATGACTTTAACCTTTCTGTGAGGTCTGCTTTTCAAATATTTAAAGTTAGCATGGGATGGGTGATCTTCCCAAAATATCCAGAGAATATCCAGACTGGATAGTCTATGGACTTATCTATTTGAACAATTTGTAGCAATATTGCATTAAACAGTCAGTTGTCAAAATGGTCATTAAAAGCGGAGTTAAATTTCAAAACACTGCATAGTCTTCACTGTATGAATTAAATATACATTGATGATACTATTGAAGCTACTAAAGTTATTCAGTCAAGAGCAGTGAGTGATGATTTTATTTATTTTTGTCATTTATTGTTTGAGTAACATTAATGACACAAAGCCTAATGCAAATACCTGCTGCTGTTTAAGACCAAATGCATGGATCTAATACTGATACATAGCAGATTTCTTTCCCAACTGTTAGTTCACTTAAGACATAAATGAATATCTTCATGTAAATACATGCCAAGATGGACATTTTAACATTTGTGTATATTTGACCGAGACGGAGCAAAACAACGTGGATGAGCAAAGTACACTTGGAGTTTCAGACATGTGCCTAAATGGAGTGCACATGCAGAAAGCGACTGGGGGAAGGAAATGAAGCTAAAATGATAAAAAATTGTGAGATCGCCCACCCCCAAGTTAGAATAAACACTACGGTTGTCAACTACTAAATCCCACTAGTCAAGCTAAATCACCAGTCTTTCATTATTTTATTAGTTGGTAATTTTTTATTTTTTTTTCACTTCCACCCTCCTTTCCTACCAAGCTGTCTTGCTGGCTTCACTGATGTCCAGATCACATTATACCAATGGCCAATTTTTATTTTATCTACTTATTTTTGTTCATTCTTAACCATTCGGCTTAAAGATTCTGGAGTTTATCACACAGTTTAGGCACAAACTGTGACCACAGGAATCCATCCAGAGAAATGCTTCTAGGAAGTTTAATTTTAGAACATTGTCATTGCCACTAATGCCCAACACAGCTGTTATAGCTGTTTACCTTCCAGTGCCCCCACCATGATCCCCCCTCCCCACCACCACTGACTGTACTAAGTCAGTCAACATTAGCTAGTCCGCACGTCCCAGCTATGAGGAAAGGACTTTGCAACCGAACACTGCTGGTGATAACACATCTCAGCCCTCTGAACGTCTCATGTCGGTTGCACTTGCTTTGCAACAGGGATTACTGGCATGTTTGTGACGGGGCAGATTTGTTTTGCTGAATTGGAGTCATGCTAGTACACATGGCTTTATGGTAGGGATGACTATGATTGGTGTGAAAACATTTGTTTTGGTAAGCAAATATCCAAGTTGTTGCCGTTGCACTAAAATGTGTCTGTTTTTACATGTATTCTAAAAAGAGTGTCTCATTCTTTCCACAGGATCTGGATCTTGATGCAGAGGAGGATGATTCAGATGTGGAAGAGGGACACGATGAGTTATAAGAGTCAGGAGGAAAAGGCAAGACAAACCCCTTCACCACCACCACCTCCACTTTAAACCTCCCTGTCTGTGAACACTAAAGCTTTTCCTACCTAATCCAACTGGGCGTTACAGGGTCCTCTGTCAGCCAGTAGTCATTACCAGTCCAACCCAACCATCTGCAGCCCAGAGAAGTGCCTCTCTGCCCACAACTTTATCTCTTTTGAAGTGTTTTACTGTACAGTTCTTTTTGCATTAAAGTGTATTTGGTTTTTAGGTTTAATTCTAATGGTAATGTTGAACTACTCTTTATACCTGCCCACTGCCTCCTTTTGTGATCCGGGGGCTCAGTGTTAAGATTTTGCAGTTTAATACTGGAAATACTCTCCTGATGAAGGGGGAGGCAGTTATTCTGCCTTAAATCTGTGATATGAATGAGTGGACGTTTCAGGGCAGAGGGGCTATGTCATTCACCATTGGGTGGACATGAAATTATAATAGCTGCTATTACAGTGTGAACAAAACTTAGCCGAGACCAAACCTTCCCTGTTTCAATAGTCAAATCACATTTTCATATTCCTTATTTTCCAAATTAACACCTGCTACTGAATTATTTTTTAAAGCTGTAAAAGTTTTTACTTTTATTTAATTTTATTTAATTTTTTTTTAAATAATCTTACATACATAAGGGCCCAGAAACAGCACTTTTGTTGAATTACCTGGGGCAGAGTTGGCCCTCTCAGCTTTCTGGTCATCTGGGAGGATGATTTGAAACCTTGTTTTGCACTTCATTTAGTGCCATCAGAGATTCCATATCAGTTACTGAAATGAAGATTTATCTTTTAAGGACAATAACTCACCCATACCCTTCCTGCTCTCCATCGCTTTAGTGGAAGATTCCTTCCACCTGGAGGTATGATGCCAGTTGATGATGTCTGAGTGGTCAGTGTGACGGGGAGGAGAAAGTGTGCTTGTAACCAACTTATTCAGTCTTTTTTCCCCTTCTTATGCCAGGGTTCAGGGTTGTGCGTGTGTATGTGATTTGGTTAACCCTCATGTTGTCTGTCTTTATTTTTCTAGGAGGGGTGAATTTCAGGGGTGGGTTCCTAAACCCTCCCTTAAAAGAGCGGGAGGGTTTAGGAATTCTATTGGGAGGGATTTGGGTTTTGAAATTAGTCAACATGTTTGAGACCAAGCATTCCATTGCAATGCATTGAAATTGATTGATAATGTAAACTGGTGGCCAAATAAACAACAAAATGGTGATAAATGTGTGTGGTGTTTTATTTAATTGCTGTTTAGACCCTATTCTAGACCGCTCCTCATCTAGCCCCTGTGTGCAGTCAAAATCCAGAAAGATTATTCCGCTATTTATGGAGCAATATGCAGTTTCTAATGTTTGGCGCTTTTTTTAATTCTAACACAAAATCGTTCTCTCTTTCTCTCCCCTGTCCCTCATTCTTTCTCCCATATAGACTATTTTCTGGTTGATAATGAATTACTTCCGTTGGTTAGCTCACATACTTGTAATACTATTGTTATTTCAGACCATGCTGCTGTTACATTTGACCTGGCTTTACCAGACCTGTCCCGGTCTCCTTGGCATTTTATCTCCTTGCTCAATGATCCTGATTTTTATAGCGGTTATTAATGATCGTATTGACCTTTTTATTCCCACAAATATTTCCCTGGGCATTTTAGCGAAGACTATTTGGGAGGCATGTAAGGCGAGGCATTAAGGGGAGAAATTATTTCATATTCGGCTTACAAGAGAAAAGTGACTAATGAAAGGAGAGCTAATCTTTCTAACACTTTGGCAGATTTCCAGTCTAAATGTGTTCATTCTACAAACTACAAGACTTTAAGTTTCTCATAAAAGCAGGGTTTGATTTACTTAATACAAATGAGGCAACTGAAGCTCTACATAAGACTTACTGCAATTATGAGTTCGGTGATAAATCAAGTAAACTGCTTGTATCAGTCTGCTGTCTCGCACCTCATTACTCAAATTTCCAATGCCATTGGGTCTTCAGTTAATCCACTAACTATTAATGATGAGTTCAGAAACTTTTACACCTCCATGTATACCCTGTAATACATCACTGAAGAGGTTCAATTCAATAACTTTTTCAGTTCCCTAAATGTGCCTTGCATTTATCCTGATATCTCCTCAAATTTAGTAGCCCCTCTTACATTAAATGAAATTGACTGCTCTTAGTCGATTGCAGAATGGCAAATGCCCAGGGCCTAATGCATTTCCTGCAGAATTTTTAAAGACATTCTCTGAAAAATTATCACCTCTTTTGCATAACGTTTAATGAGTCCTACAGCTCCGGTATCCTCCCTCTTTACAGCAGGCTATTTCCCTTATTCTTAAGAAAGATAAAGATTATATTAAGTGGCCTTAACTACTATGTACTTACATAAAATAAGTACAATGTACTTATTGTGTTCATATTGTATTGCAAAACCCTTTTGTTGCTATTGAGGTGGGAAATGGGTAAGGTTAGGGACCGGTTTCGTGGTATGGGTAGGTTTAAGGGTGGGTTAAGGTGTAAGGGATCGGTCAACTGTAATTATAAATGTAATTACAGAAATTAATTACATACGTAATTACATGCTGGTATTTTTAAAATATAAGTACAATTTAAAAAATGTATGTACACAATAAGTGCATTGTACCAAATGATTAATTTAAGTGTAAGTACATAGTAGTTAAGTAAGGCCACTTAATATAAAGTGGGACCGATCCTTCTCCGTGCAGTAACTATTGCCCCATCTCCTTACTTTGATCAGATGTGAAATTATTAGCTAAAGTTTTAGCGAGACATCTGGAGACTGTTCTTCCCACCATAATTTCCATAGACCAAGCAGGGTTTATTAAAAATAGACATTCTTTTGATAATATTAAACGCCTTTTGAATATTCTTTACTCTTCTTTTTTTAAATTAATCTCCAGAATTTGTTATTTCCATGGATACTGAGAAGGCATTTGTTTTACACATTGAGGTAATTTGGTTTTCCTAATCAGTTTATAGTTTTGATTAGGTTCTTATACACGTCTCCCATGGCCTGTGTATGAACAAATAATATCTAATCTGTATATTTCTCACTTGGCCATGGGACTAGACAAGGTTGCCCACTCTCCCCCTGCTGTTTGCAATTGCCATTGAGCCTTTGGCAATTGCTCTAAGATCCAGTGCAATGGCTGGCATACAAAGGGGAGGGTTGGAGCATACTGTAAGCTATCTTTATATGCGGATGATCTTCTGTTATAAGTGTCTGACCCTGGCACCTCCAGTCCCCTGGTGCTGGATTTGCTAGCAGATTTTGGTCTAATTTCGGTCTATAAGTTGAATTTGAGTAAAAGTCAAATTAATGCCCATCAACACAGCAGCCTTGGATTATCCATTAACATCCATGCCTTTCAAATCTTCTTTGCAGAGTTTTAGATATTTGGGCATATATGTGACAAAAAGTTTTTCAGATTTTTTCAGACCACAACTTTGTCCCGTTGCTTAATAGTCTTACACTGGATTTTAATCATTGGTCTCTCCTTACTATATCCCTTATTTTAATGTATTCCTATTTTATTCCCAAGTCCTTTTTTGTTGCACTTGATAGCTCTATTTCTACTTTTCTCTGGAATAAAAAAAAAACTCCAAAGATCTGGAAAGGCATTCTGCAGAAGACAAAACCATTGGGTGGTCTGGCTCTTCCTAATTTTCTAATTATTATTTGGAAGCGAATATACGCTCTACTCTGTTTTGGTTCTATTCAAGCAGCTTTGTCCATTCCCCATGCTGGCTGCACATTGAGAATGTCTCATGTAAGTCCTCCTCCCCGGCTGCCCTTGAAATATTCAAATAATATCATTAAAATTTAGTCTTAAAATCTGGATCCAATTTTTGCAGCATTTTGGCCTTCAGGATACCCTCTTATTATCCCCAACACATTCTAGCCCTTTGTTTTACCCCTCCGTTTTGGACAGTGCTTAAGCTTCCTTGAGGGGATCTTGGATTGGTTTCTATTGCTGAGCTCTATATCGATAGTGTTTTTGCCTCCTTTCATCAGTTGACCTCTCAGTTTAATATTCCCAAAAGCCATTTTTTTGTACGTAAAAAATTGTAATCTTTCCAAATGCGCCTCTCCCTTCAGATCTGGACACCATTCTGGGTGTGGATCCTTGTGTAAAGGGCACTAGTTTATATTCACTAAACTAGTGAATATAATTGTTAATTTGCAATTTTCCTCTGATAACCTACACATTGTCTGGTCCCAAGACATTGGCACTGACTTTAATAAGGAGACATGGAAAGCAGTCTTCAACAGGGTTTACTCCTCTCTTTGTGCACATCACAGGCTCATACAGTACAAGGTGGTTCATAGAGCCCCACTGGTCTAAGACCAGGCTAGCTCGCATTAACCCCTCTATTGACCCGGAGTGTGACAGGTGTCATTCTGGGGGGTTACCATTTCAAATTACTTTTACCCTGCGTTATACCCAGAACATGTAGAAACTTCTGGACCTAAGTAATAATAGGGGCTGAGTAATAATAACTCAGCTCACAAAATAGAAAGTCAGGTAGATTTAAAGTAGAAAACACTGTCAGGCCTGCTGTCAGGGATCATGACATATTAATGTGATTAAACAGTCATCTGCAAATAGAGCAAGAGCATAAAGAAAGATAAACAGCAGGCTGTTTATTCAAGTGTTTAAAGGGGTCATATGATGCGATTTCAAGTTTTCCTTTCTCTTTGGAGTGTTACAAGCTGATTGTGCATAGATAAGATCCCTGAAGTTGCAAAGACTAAAGTCTCAAAATCAAAGAGATATTCTTTATCAAAGTTAAGACTCTGCCACGCCCCCCTATCTAATTGTGACCGTAAACATGTCCTTCATGGCCTTCACGTTTGGCAGGCCATACCTATAAACCATTTTTATACCCTATTCACTGTGTACTAGAAATTACTGTTGGCTTCCCTGCTGTGTGACAACAGGAGCTGGGGTGGGGGAATTTATCTGAAGAGGTGGAGGAAAGACTTGGTTTAAATGTGGTGTGTGAAAACAAGGTTATGGATCTTATTGCTAAGTTGGCTGAGAATCGTAGGGGTGTAACTAGATCACACCCACTCATCTTCCAATTCAGTCATCTGAGCTATGAGACGACAGTCTCTTAATATAGTCAAGTGGGGGGTATATATAGGGTACACAGAGAGCCCTGACTTCAGACCAACTTCTGAACGACTGTCTAGGAAGGTACTCTACATCAAGAGAAAAACAAACAACCAGACAGACTGAGCAGCTGGAAATTTCAAGACAAGCATCTTGGAAAAGAAGAAATTCTGAAGATCTCTGATTGTGCTGAACATTGAGAATTAGTGCGGAATTTCTCATCCAATCTTAGGAACACAAACATTAAAGAATGATGAAGTACTATCAGTGTCCAGTCACCCAGACCATGCGCTATGAGGGGTGCAACCCAAATGCCACTAGACCAGTATCATGTTTTCATTCATGGCCTTCCATCAAACCTGTTCGCAATGTTCACTTTCCCAACGACATAGTTTTTCAGGATTATGTCCGTCAAGGAGAGCTGGAGAGAATTGGACGCTTCATTAGAACCAAAAGAGTGAGTCTGGACACCATCTATCATTCAGGTAGGAAAATCAACTACTTGTGTATGCAATTGAGTCAGCTATGGAAAGTAAATCTTTGTTCAGACTCAACTAGATACTCTGCATGCAAGTAATTAAAATGCAGTTATGAACACAAAAGCATTCCCTGATCTCTAATAAAGGCTATTCATCCTAATAATTAGCAATGCCATTTTTGTCTAGGCAGCTCTGACTATTTGATAACATAATCAAAAGTAGGGGTGTTCCGATCAGGGTTTTTGAGGCCGATCACAGAAAGCAGTATCTGCCGATACCGATCTTTTTAAAGCCGTCTATTTATCATTTATAACTATTTATTGTGATACTCCAATCAGGATTTTTAGACATTTATTCAGGGCCTGAATTTCATTTTTGAAAATGGAGGGAATTCCCCTCTTAGGTGACTCTTGTGAGAGGGGAAGCAGCACGGACTGTGCTTTCACACAGGACTCAGGAGTCCGCTACTGATCCGTGGCTGTTTTCCACAAACACAACATTTATCCATTATTTTGATTTCAAATCCAAACATTGTCACTGAAAATGCTTTTAGTGTGCATGAGCGCGCACAGTCTCCAGGAGAGCTCGCGAGTGCTGAATGATTAAACGTTGGCA